GCACGGGAAGGTCCAGGCGGAGGCGCCGCAGGGTGCGCGCGCCCCATTGCTTGGTACTCGAGTGCGCATGCGCGCTGGGGGGGAGGGGGAGCGGGACGGGAGGTTGAGGGTGCTGCGCAGGCGCAGCATATCTGCTTGGTTTGGCGGGACTGCGAAATCCGGAGGGGGCCTCCTCTGGTTTCTCTCTGGCCATGTGTAGGGTAACCTCTGGTGGACCCGAGTACTGAGTATGGATGGCAGGAGAGTGTAAAAAAGGGCTATTGACAATGTAGAACGGTTCTTTTTTTTTTTTTTAGTTTTGTAGGAATGTGGGAGGTAAATACTTAGAGTGCCTTTACAATAAAGCAAGGTTTTTTTTTTGTTTTTTTACTTTTTGAGACAGGGTTTCGCTTTGTAGTTCAGGCTGACCTTGAACTCATTGTGTAGCCCAGGCTGCCCTCGAACTCGCGGCCATTCTACTGTCTTCCGAGTGCTAATACAGGTGTGGATTGCCAGGGATTGAATACGAGATTAAGAAGTTGGAAGGCTTCGGTGATGGTTGGGCCCTTCTTTGGCTTTTAACCTCCCTCTTTGTTGACTCTAGAGTTTTGGATCTGACCAACTTCTATCTCTGTTTTAAAAGATTTGTTTTTTATCCTGGACTTGAAACCGTGGGAAATAGAAAAATTAGTGTAAGTATAGGGAAATGTATATGTCAGGGAAAGATAATTTGACCACTATGTAATTCGTTCTTTGTGGAATTTAAAGAGTTCTAGATTTTGTTGTTTTAAGGGACAAGGTCTTGCTGTGTGTAGTTCATGCTTTCCTTGAACTGTGTAGCCCAAGCTGACCTCAAACTCGTGAATACTCTTGCTTCAGTCTCCCAACTGCTGGAATTACAGGAATGGGCAACTGCCTAGTTTTAAGTGTTTCAACCCAAATTGTCTTAACTTTCCAGGAAGAATGAATTCTGATCTTGGCTCTGCTTGTGAAGAAAAAGGTGGTTCTGTTGGAGAATTAGGTGTTTTTCTTTAGTAGTGTATAATAAAATATTCAGTTTTGTTCTAACCTCTTTTCAGAAAGGTGACTTGTGAGGAAGATGGAGGTGGGAGAACCAGGATTTCCTTATGGCTGCTTTATAGACCTAGCCTTGATTCTAAAATCTTGTCATTCAAGGTGTTCACAGAGGATAAAGTATATATCTCTTCAACATTTCCACTTTGTTTTTTTGAAGCAGGGTCTTACTGTGTAGTTGAGGCTAGCCTTGAGCTCACTTGTGTAGCCCAGGCTGCCTTAAACTTGCATTGATCCTCCCAACTCAGCCTCTCAAGTGCTGGGATTAAAGGTATTTGCCACCATACCCGACTGACTCTTTGTTTTTCAGACAGGGTCTCTGTATTTTGTTTTGGTACCAGGGACTGAACTCAGGACTTTGTGCTTTTGAAGCAATCAGTGGCAGACAGGGTCTCTGTAGTTTGAGGCTGGCCTTGAACTTGCAGAAATTCTCTTGCCTCAGCCTCCTGATTGCTGGGATTAGACATGCAAGCACCTGCTAACATTTTCACTGTGTGATCTATGTGTGCATCAAGATTATTACTTCAACTGGGGTATAGCTCAGTGGTGAAGCACTTGCGTAGCATTTTCAAAGTTCCAGGTTTGAGTTCCATCCAGCAGCTCAACAACAAAAAAAAGATTTGCTGTCTTGTTTACATGATACACACAGGTCTTCCAGACATAAGTAACAAATGTGAAACAACAACTTACCAGACTAGGTATCTTGTAGTTGCCATATGTTTTCATTTTGTGAGGTTTGTTTTTCATCCTTTGCCAGCTAAATTTTAGGTCGTTACCAGTTTCACAGTAAGCTAAAGGTTGTGTGCACTGTGTCCCCAAGTCTGCCTATTGATAGTCACCTCTGCTTTTTAAAATTGGTGCCTGATGGGCTTTGTCTTCCTTTAGACTTCCCAAGTAAGAAACGGAAGAGGAGCCGCTGGAACCAAGATACAATGGAACAGAAGACAGTGATTCCAGGAATGCCCACAGTTATTCCCCCTGGACTTACTCGGGAACAGGAAAGAGCTTATATAGGTAAATACACGTTCTGCATCCAAGCACATTTTCTGATTACTCTGAGTGATGTATCTTGAAAGTTTAAGGTTTTAGTTGGCTTTATTGAGAGAAACAATCAAATGTACTTTCATGACTTTGGCAGACTCCATCAGGTTTGGCTCAGCAAGTCCTGCGTTTGCAGCTCCTTTTGGTTTGTTTATAAAGGCAGTGTTCTCCACGAGTGCCAGGAAGGTAGTGGGGCCCAATTAGGAGAGAATAGTTCCCAGTCTAGCAGCCCACCCTTTTCAGCTGCTGTTCATTGCCAGTTGATGAGGTGAGTGTTTCGTCTGCCTGTCTGGACAGGCCCAGTGAAGAACACTGCAGGTATTGTAAACCAAGTACCTTTTTCACAGCATCACAGCATGGTCTTCTGCCAATCTCATATTCCTCCCTTTCCCTAAAATGTGGTTTTACTCTTTATAGGTACTTTCTGAAAACAAACAATCCCAGTTTGAACAAAAAGTGGTTCTGCAAGTGTGTTTACAGTTTACCCCTCTTTTGTTTTGTTGAACTCAACCTTCCCTTCAACATCTTTTCTGGTTTGGTCTTTGGAGAGCTGTCTTAATATGAACGCTCTTATATTTGCTACTAAAGAACTGTTGGGAAGGGAAGGGGATGCTGCTTGATACAGAATGAGATAGTAGAGTAAGAGATCTCTGTTGAGAGATTTCAAGAATTAAAAGCAACTATCCACAGTGGCACTGAAATTAACCTCAGAATTTTTAAAAGATAAGGTCTTTAATGGAAGTTTTATGTTTACACACTTAATGCAGCTCTCTCAAAAATTTGATGAACATTTCTAACATTACTATCCTAATAAAACTACTCATTAGACGAAGTTAAGGCAAACACAGGTCTAGTTCCGTGAGACTGGCTTTAACAAAGCTTCAAGGCTGCATGGACTGATTTTGGAGGGTTTTAATTTCCTGGGTTTTAGATTTTTGCGAATTTTGAGGTATTAGAATTGTCTATTTTCCTTTTACTACTAATACTTCTTTCTCCACTGTTCTGTCTGCTCCTGTCCATCCCCTTAATATCTCATAGACTACTCTGATACTTCATAACCTAATAGAGTCATAGCCTGGCATGGTGGCGCATGCCTATAATCCCAGTACTTGGGAGGCTGAGGCAGGAGGATCACTGTGAGTTCAAGACCAGCCTGGGCTACATAGTGAGTTCCAGGTCAGTCTCAACTACATAGTGAGACCCTGTCTCAAAAAAAAAAAAAAAAAAGTAGAGTCATATTTGAAGAAGACAAGTACACATAGAGAATAAGGGAAGCAAACTTACTTATTTTTCTTCCTGTGGAGGCCCTTTCAGGCACTGAGCCCTAAAGGCAGTTTATAACCATCATTGAAATAGAATCAAATCAGAAGCTGGTCTCTGCTCCATGGAAGATAGCAATCCTTTCTCACTTAATCTTCAGTATCAGCTATTTATTCAGCTTAGACCTCATACCCCACAGTCTCCTTAAGAGGGCTGCTCCATGAAAGTGACTCACCTTAAATTTAAGCTTAGTATTTGACTGTAAAGTTAGAATTTGTTCAGCATAAAGGAACTTGAAGAGTTAGGTATCATTCATCTTTTGACTCTGATGGTACACCTTTTCCAGAATATCCCTAATAATTTTATATTTCCTTATGGTTTTGTTGTGGGGGTGTGGTTCAGCCTTGTAGGTTGAATTTAAAGACACTGGGTTAGGCATGCCTTACCCCTTTTTGGAGCTAGCTCAGTTATAACCCAGTAAGACTTGCCCTCATTAGTGATGCCTACTTAAATCTCTGAGATGCTACAAAGGTAAGAAAGAGGTGGTTATTTAATATGTTGAAGAAAGCCACTCTGGTTCTGTAGTTCCCATTATTTTGGAAAATCAACTAAATATTTCCCTGCAGTCTTTGGCAACTTTTGTGAAGCCCTCATCTTTCTCTCTCCTGCACAGCCTCAGGTCAAGGCCTAAGGGCCACATAACATTTTCCTTGAGCCACACTTTTCATCTTCTACACACCTATTCCCCATATCCATAGCAGGTCTGAGATTAAACTCCTAGCATGTCTACTGGTTTATGAAGATAACGGTTTGTCGTTAATGGTTGAATAAAAGCAGATACACCCTTACTAGTACAGGTCTGGTGGTACAGAAAGTATGTATAAATAATCTAATGTGTAAGATTGGTTATTGAATGTCTTGTTAAAAGAACTTTAAACCTGGTTTTACTGAAAATTGTTTTTGCTCAACTGGTATTTTTCCTTGTCCCATGTTAATTGGGTCTTATTTTGGGATATGTTTAAAAAATAAATAAATAAAACTCAAGTCTTCCCCTCAAGTAATTTGGTGGGAACCAGGTACTGGTGGGTGATACCATACATGCTGTTGGTTCTGGTTACCAGTTGTAAGCAAGCATTGGTGGACAGAGGTGAACACCTCCTAATAAATGCTTTGGTATTAGCCTTAGTGAACAGTCTACTGCTAACCCCTCTTCCAACAAACTGTTTGCGTCCTTAAGTGATAACCATTTTGAAGTGAAAAATACCTATAGATGTAAATGGACTCCTGCCGATAGGAGGTTGGGGGATTTTGCCTCAGTGTGTTCATTGATCAGTCATCCCTTTCAAAGTCTCCGAGTTCTTCATGCTTATTGTTGAGATTTGAGATGTTTTTTGGTAACAATGTCTTTTTTCCATCCTTTTTTTTTTCTTTCCTAACCTGGTTTCTTCCAGTGCAACTGCAGATAGAAGACCTGACTCGTAAACTGCGCACAGGAGACCTGGGCATCCCCCCTAACCCTGAGGACAGGTTGGGAAACAGTTTTAACCAGCTGACAGTAACGCTTTTTACCTTTTTCTCAATACGTTTTACTGGTGGCAACATGTTGTGTCAGTTCATTAAAATTGTAGTTAAGACAACTGGTGTACTGATCATTTTGGGGACTAGGGTTTAATTAGCAATATATATGGTCAGTCAACAGTTAGAAAATTGGAATGAGACTTAATTATTGGGAGAACAAAAAGTTACTGGAAATGGACAACTGGTTTCCAATTGGTAAGCATGTAGATTTTAACCTGATTTACCCACCCTTAGGGAGAGTGAGAGGTGGCATTAACCTGCCTTTTCAGTGCCTGCTTTGGCTGAAAGCCCATGGGGCAGTTTTTCTCACAGGTACATGATGCAGGTGTTAAGAATATTTTTGAACATCACTGAATTTGAGCGGGCCAGAAACACTGGCCAGCTCATTGCGCAGTCTTCCTGCTCATGGTTTTGAGGTGGTTTTAAAATCAGAAATTTCTAACCAACTTCCTTCACTACCAATTAATTTTCAGCCTTGGCCATTGCCTGGGGGTTTTGGGAGGGGCCAGAATATTATCACCTGTTTTGGGAAAGCAAGCAACCAACCTTAAATTACATTTTTTAAAAAAGGGAATGTGGGCCTCAAACAGCTGTGGTCATATTTCATTCAGTTAATTTTTATCACCTTTGAAAAGTAAAAAGTTTATGTGAGGGAGTTAAACTTTTTCAACTGGGATTTTATTGGCTAACTGATCTTTGAATGCCTAAAACTTGCTCATTTAATAGACGAGTAAGCCTCTTCCTCTCAATGAAATATCTTAGTGCATGCAGCATAAGACTTTGCTTTAAAAAGTATCTGTGGCTTTTGTTACCAAGTTTTAATGGCTCATTCAGTCAGGAAGATGATGTAATGGCTTTAGAAGTCACTCTTACATGCATCTTTCTGGTGCCTTTTGCCAGGAAGCAAATTAACTTCATTTCTCCATATTTGATGCTTTAATTATATTTATTAAATGTGTTACCTTTTTTACTAGTAATTTTGGTTGGAAGGTTGTATTGTGTTTTACATTTCTTTTTGACTTGAAAATTTTTTTCTAAAGAGATTAACATTGTAGATTATAGACCACAACTGTTTAGTGCCTTTCTGGCCTTTTCCCCTTAACAGTATGTCTACAGGTTACCAGGCAATTCCTCCAAAGGTTGAGTTTTTAACAAACCTTCTTTGCTTCCTGGAGAACTGGGATTAGAATTTAGTTGATTTATCCAATGCCTATTCTAGGTGAAGAAGTCCGGCCAGTCTAACCTCTAGATCATTAGCTTTTGCCTTTTACTTCCATAATTTGGGAAGAGGTTAAACTGTTGTGAGGCCTTTCAGTGGTCAATTTGGTACTGGTACAACTTGTTTTGGTGATTAGCCAGAAATACCCTGGGGTGGGCATTAAAATTGTCAAGTGTGGTAGAAATAAAACCAGAGCAGGGTTTTTCCTTCCTTGCATTCAGTTTTGAAAGAGGCCTCAACGCCTGGTTGGTTTTGCTTTTAAGTCCAGGATGGAGGGAAATGCATGAGTTTCTTACCTTAATAAGACTTTCATAAGAAGGTGTATTTAAAAATTAAGCCACTTCATATGATTCTGATGTTGCTTAACATGCACAGTTAAAAATGTTTTAAAATCTCTTGTAGGCTAAAATGTGTAAAATGATAGTCTGATGAGCTGGGGTATGTTTGCTTGTGTTTACTATCACTGAATTGTGCTAACAGTTTATACAAATGCTAGAAACGGAGGTGTCATTTAGCCGTCACTAGCCATGAACAAACCTGACCTTTTATTCCATCGTGTGTGTAACGTGGTATGACATGGTTCCCTTTAGGCTGAAGACAGTGGGAGCAGCCGAGTTCAGTCCTTGCTCTCCAACTAGGCAAGGTTCTCAACTAAACCAAGGGTATAGGAGTCTGGACTACTTTCAGGATGTTTTTTTTAATAACCTGATCCACATGGTCTCTTCCCTTCTTGCAGCTGCTACTAAATTTTCATACAGAATATCAAGCTTATGGTCCTTTTTATACTCAACTCAGAATTCTAGGAGTGTAACTTCTCTTTTTTTATTACCGCAAAATCCAGCTGTGGTAAACTGACCATTTTATCATTACTATTTTTTTGCTTGTAGCATCAGGATTTTACTCCTTTAAAATGAGAGAGAAAAATCTGCTTTCTGGACTTAAACTCTGGCGGAGAATTGTAGGATTTCCCCTTGCTGTTGGCAGGTTCAGACCCTAGACAAATATTTGACCAAGTCTACATTTGCAGCCTCTTGCAGAAGCTGCTTTAGCACTTTTAACGGTTTTCTTTACCCAGACTCCCCACCTTGAACAGCCAGAAACAGGTTGTCTCCTGGGCCTTGGACACAGCCAGCCCCAGGCCATTGAAGGAAAAGCAGAGACGAAGCCTTGAACCATCTCTCTCCATTGTGGGGGCCAAGTAGCTGCAATAGCTTGAGTCCAGCTGCTTTGGGTAAAAGAGCTTGTGCTCATTCTGTCAGGGGTACAGATGATCTTCTGATAGGCATGAGCTCTCCAAGAGTTCACATAACACCTAGACTTGGGTTTCTGTGGTTCATCAAGTTTGGGATTTTTTTTTTTAAATAAAAATTTATATTTTGGCAAGAAGACTCCAGAGGATGATACCGTCCTTGCCACTTACAATCCAAAGATTTGCCCCCAAAGAACAGACATTTTTTTCCTCTCTCATCACTTTTAGAAGCAAACCCTTATTTTTTCTTTCCTCACATACCCCAGTGCCCATAATGCTAAGCCAGTTTCCATCTCCCCATTCCACACGATCTTGAATAGCACACGTTATGGTCGGTTCCTCCGAAGAGTGTTGTTAGGGTCTGAGAGGCAGAGGGGCTGGGGCAGGCGTGTTATAGTCCATGTGGGAATGAGGAAAGTAGGGGTGGAGCAGTAACAGGGGTCTGTTTCCCACAGGTCCCCTTCCCCTGAGCCCATCTACAATAGTGAGGGGAAGCGGCTTAACACTCGAGAGTTCCGTACCCGCAAGAAGCTTGAAGAGGAGAGGCACAACCTCATCACAGAGATGGTTGCTCTCAACCCTGACTTCAAACCGCCTGCAGATTACAAGTAAGGGAGTCTAGGTTGTCTGGAACAAGGACATGTGCAGGTCAATTGTTGCTATCATCCACTTCTTGCCCCAAATCACCAGTAAATAGCACATTATGATATCAGTGGTTCCAGAAGAACTGGATTACCTGTGATATCTCAGATATGTGCATTTGGTGACAATGTTTCTTCCTTAGACCTCCAGCAACGCGTGTGAGCGATAAAGTAATGATTCCCCAAGATGAATATCCAGAAATCAACTTCGTAGGGCTGCTAATTGGACCGAGGTGAGTAATTATTACTCTAGGCAGTGATGGCAAACCTTTGAGAGATGAGTGCTCAAACTGCAACCTAAAACCCACTTATCGTAAAGTGCCAGCACTAAATTCTGAATACTGAGGTTTTAGTTTAGAAAAAACTCAGGCATTAACATCTTTAGTCCTGAAAACAAGCATGCTGCATACCGTAGGTTTGCCACCACTGATGGGGTGGGGAAGGGGTATAGAATTCCTTAGAACCTTGGAGGTGTGTCTACTTGGTGCCTAATTGGGTGCTGTTGGCTTATCTTCCTATTTTTTGGTAGGGTTCACTTTGGCTGACTTTTATCTTTCTGTGAATCGGTAACATTTCCCCTTTACTGCAGAGAAATGAAATCCTCAGATTTGCAACTGGCCTTAATTTAAAGGTCCCACTTCTTGGTGGAACAGTCTAATACTCTGCATTTGCAGTTTTCCCATCAGTGCCTACTTAGCCCACCTCTGCCCCACTTTGGAATGTGAACTTGTGTATTGAATATAAATGCAGAGCTTTCTGCCCATGTTAGAGGGAACACCCTGAAGAACATTGAGAAGGAGTGCAATGCCAAGATCATGATCCGAGGGAAAGGATCTGTGAAAGAAGGGAAGGTTGGACGCAAAGATGGCCAGATGTTGCCAGGGGAAGATGAGCCACTTCATGCTCTAGTCACTGCCAATACAATGGAGAATGTCAAAAAGGCAGTAGAACAGGTGAGTGGTGAGCCCAGAAAGAAAGCCTCTGGCGAGAAATCTATGTGGTAGCCTAAGCACTTGTGCAATTAACTACCTGCTTTGTCTTCACTAGATCAGAAACATTCTGAAGCAGGGCATTGAGACCCCAGAGGACCAGAATGATTTACGGAAGATGCAGCTTCGAGAGTTGGCTCGCTTGAATGGCACCCTTCGGGAAGACGATAACAGGTAGCGTTCAGTATAGAGGAGAGTTCATAGAGACCTTGAGGAGTCTGGAAGTGGAAAGATTGTCCACAGGGCTGAGGATTTAGCTCAGTGGTTCCACCACCTGCCTTGCAGGCGCAAGGTCCCCGAGTTTGATCCCTGGTACCAAAGAAAAAGAGTATCCATAGCCTAGGGTTGATGTCTTTTTTTTTTTCTTTCCATCCTCATCAGGATCTTAAGACCCTGGCAGAGCTCAGAGACTCGTAGCATTACCAACACTACAGTGTGTACCAAGTGTGGAGGGGCCGGCCACATCGCTTCAGATTGCAAGTTCCAGAGGTGAGGGTCTGGTGGTGGTTCTCTGGGAGCTCATGATATGCGGGACAGATTTTAACACACAAATTAGTATTTAACTTCATGCATCCACAAGAAGCATTCTTTTATGTGCATGTGGCCTGTGGTGGTGTGCTTTAAAACTTAGAAGAATTATAAACAGGGCAGGGAATTTAGCTCAGTGGCACCATGCCTGTCTCTCAAGCGTAAGGTCCTGAATTCCGTCTCTGATACCCAAAAAAGGGTTTGTACAGTAAACCCTTAACTGTTCTCGAGGCTTTGCACAGTGGTAGTATTGTAGCCAGTGAAGTTTGTCTGAGGTGTGATTATTGCTAATTGAAAACTATTTGTCCTTGAATCTAGGGAAACTGGAAACTTCCATCCTCTTTAGTTGTGTAGAAATGTTTCCACTGGGGCTTTGTTGCTTAAGATCTGTTCAAGAAGATTAAGCAGACTGGAATTTTACCAGTTGCAAATCAGCCCTGAATGCTATCATTTTCCTACTCTGGGGTCAGAGTTTTTCTGGCAGTTGCTCCAGTCTTACATAGATTTCCCTTCCCTCAAACTGGGAAGATAACAATTTGATGAAACTTGAGAGGTGAGAGAACCTGTGCTCTTTTAGGCTAATGAGGACCTGGTGCTCTCACCAGGGTTTTTAACCTAGGACCTGTGCTGTTGCAAGCACTGGTGATCCCAAAAGCAGAACTGCTCTCTAAAATTGAAGACTTGAGTGTGTTGGCACATGTCTGTAATCCCAGCACACAGGAAGCAGAGGCAGGAGAATTGTCATAAGTTCGAGGCCAGCCTAGGCTACATAGTGAGTTCAAGGCCAGCCTGAACTACATGGTGAGATCCTGTCTCAAAAAAAAAAAAAGGAAAAATTGAAGACCAGAAGAGTTTGTTTAAAACTATGTTTAGTAAAGGGTTGGGAAGAAATAGTGACCTAATGGCTGAACTCTTTAAAACTGTAAATTTTTCAAGGTCATAGCTGCCTCCTTGAGCCTTTTTTCCCCTTCTCTCTTTGAATCTCCATCTCATCTTAGGCCTGGAGACCCCCAGTCAGCTCAGGATAAAGCACGGATGGATAAAGAATATTTGTCTCTTATGGCTGAACTGGGTGAAGCACCTGTCCCAGCATCTGTAGGGTCCACCTCTGGCCCTGCCACCACACCCCTGGCCAGTGCACCAAGGCCTGCTGCTCCTGCCAATAACCCACCTCCACCGGTGAGCCTCAGAATTGGTTTACTTGGTCTAGCTTCCCTGTCCTCCTGCGGAGACTGGAAGCTATGGCCAAGTGATTTGGGTGGAGCAGAGTGAAGGATGTGGCTGGCAACATTGTTCTTCTGGAGTATCTGGCCAGTGTGGGGGACTTGCTTAGGAGTCCTTGTGTTTTGCTCCCATGGCAGAGCCAGAAGGACAGTGTTGCCACCAGGGGGAGCAGGCAGAGGCATTGGCGGGAAATACTCTCACGTAGTCTCTCATGTCCACCACCCAGAGCCGCCCACCCTGGATGAACTCTGGCCCTTCGGAGAGTCGGCCCTACCACGGCATGCATGGAGGTGGTCCTGGTGGCCCTGGAGGTGGCCCCCACAGCTTCCCACACCCATTACCCAGCCTGACAGGTGGACATGGTGGACATCCCATGCAGCACAACCCAAATGGACCCCCACCCCCTTGGATGCAGCCACCACCACCACCGATGAACCAGGGCCCCCACCCACCTGGGCACCATGGCCCTCCTCCAATGGGTAAGTAAGTGTCAGACCAAAAACCTTGGGGCTTTGGGATAAGGGGTTAGTTCAGGTTACTGGGAGATGTGGCTAGCAAGTGCACAAGGCCTGCCGGCCTCCCCAGAGCTCAGGCTCCAGAGGAATAGGGTTGTCCCAGCAAGCTGTCCGTGAGGGCAGGGAGCTGGGGACTGCTTGTGATGCTGGGGACTCGGTCTGTGGGGCTGAGGAAGTTGTTGGGGGGTGTGATCCCTGGACAGTTCAAATGTCTTGCTAAGTCCCTGCTCTTTCCTTCCATCAAGATCAGTACCTGGGAAGTACGCCTGTGGGCTCTGGGGTCTATCGCCTGCATCAAGGAAAAGGTAACTTCCAGCTTTGTGTTCATACCTAGACCTGGGATAAGTGGGGCTTTGGGCCAGGTTCCCTCCTGCCTGGAGGCCTCACCTTCTACCTAATTATAGGTATGATGCCGCCGCCACCTATGGGCATGATGCCGCCACCGCCGCCGCCTCCCAGTGGGCAGCCCCCGCCTCCTCCCTCTGGCCCTCTTCCTCCATGGCAGCAGCAGCAGCAGCAGCCTCCACCACCCCCTCCACCCAGCAGCAGTATGGCTTCCAGTACCCCCTTGCCATGGCAGCAAAGTGAGTGGAATATTTTGGGCTCGTGGGGGTGGGTGGGACTGGGGGATTGGGCTGAGAGAGCAATAAAAACTCACATGTGCAGGAGACACCTTGGGACGAAACTGGTCTGGAGGGAGAGTGGAAACAAGGGGCATCCTGCCCCATGGGAGCTTCACGGGGAGGAAAGCTGATGTTTGGTGTGGTTGCGTCTGGGAGAGGTCTGAATGGCAGCAGGCAGCAGCAGCCTCCACCACCCCCTCCACCCAGCAGCAGTATGGCTTCCAGTACCCCCTTGCCATGGCAGCAAAGTGAGTGGAATATTTTGGGCTCGTGGGGGTGGGTGGGACTGGGGGATTGGGCTGAGAGAGCAATAAAAACTCACATGTGCAGGAGACACCTTGGGACGAAACTGGTCTGGAGGGAGAGTGGAAACAAGGGGCATCCTGCCCCATGGGAGCTTCACGGGGAGGAAAGCTGATGTTTGGTGTGGTTGCGTCTGGGAGAGGTCTGGGGGCCTGCAGGGATGCCTGCAGCTGTAGGGAGGATGCTGGAAGTCCAGCCTCTGAGCAGCAGAGTGAACTACTGGCTGGCTGGGTCTTGTGCCAAGGCCAGAATGGGATGGTGCATGCATGTTCTGGAGGGGCTGTGATTGGGCCTGAGAGACTGCAGAGATGGGGCCAGGTAGTGGGGAGAGAGCCACTATGGCCTTGAGGTTGAATGTGCCGTTCGGTGGTGGCGGCGGCTGGGCGGAGGGACGTCAGAGCCGGTTCTTGTGTCTGGTACTTTCCCCTCAGCCCCTACAGGGGCATTGGTGACAAAGGGCTTACTCTGTTAAGCCCAGAGACCTCGAGGCTGACCCCAGGGTAGTCCTGCCCACCCCTCCAC